ATATCGATGGAACTGTATGAAGAACGCTGGAGCTGTAATAACGGCGAATGAGTGGTCCGCGACAGCCGCGTGCGGCAAATCGATTACTCAAAACCGTTCCTTGACTACTCCATATATGCTATCTGGGTTCACAATGTAGTATTAGATCGCAAGCAGCAAGAATAAAACCTTCATTTACTCATTCATCTAATTATTTGGCAAATTATTGGATTGTCATTCGAATCCACGAATGAAATATAGCCGTAACAACTTATCCAGCGTGGTCGATGCTCGGTGAAGCTTGGCACGACAAGGCAGTTCAATCCGCTTGAGCTCCTTAGAAGGTTGTGAGTCACGAACATGGGCTTGCAGAGTGATTTCGCACCCTTCGAGGCCTAAAAGGAACAAAAAACCATGTCATGGTCCATAGGGTAGTGATTATGCCGAAATATAACTTTCTATTGTGGAAGGAACATTACCAAAGTGCTCTTGTCATCGTATTTTTCTGACACAAAAATATGCGTCTGAACTCGTGGTGAATGTGCCTGGAATCAAGGTAATTTTTGAAAAACAAATTAATAAATAAAATTGATAGAAAAAAAGAAAAAATAAAGCGAAATCGCATGCCTGTTTAGAATTAGGTATGGAAGAATAATTACATCATAATACAACAGAAGAGATGTTTCGGCTATTATCCAATCCAAATCACCAAATCCTACTAAAAATACGCTGACCTCCCAATATAAAAAGAATGCCACTTCAATTGCCATCATAAGAGAAACCTGTGCATGAAAACTATCTCTAAGTCGAATGTACCTTGAACTGATTGGTGTTAGTAATTCATAAAGTATATTCATCAGTAAAAGTATCCGTGTCCGTATCAATAGCCATGCCAAAAGAATGTAAACACTTCCAAATTTTCGTTGAAAAGAATACCTTCAATTTTTGCACCAAAATATCAATACCATTTGAATTTTCGTATGCGAAATTCGAGGGTTACTCAATTCTACACAATTGGTAGGGTGCATTCTTTTCTTTTTGTTGATGAAAAGTACTTGAGGATGCAAAAAGTATGTATACACAAGAAAAAGCTCAGAAATATCAATAGAATCAGAAGGTCTAGCGAAGTTCCTAACTAGTTCGAACATTCTAGTACATTTGGCATGCTCTTAAGAAGGTTGGCGGTGGTTGCCTAGCTAACGTAGACGATATTGTAGCTTTCTGGTCACATAGTTCCTGTACAGATGTGGTGCTGCCCTGCTTGTTGTTGAGGTGAAGTAGTTGGACCGGAACCTCCTCTCAAAGTAACGATTTCATTACTCTTACGTTGCCAGAATGAAGCCATTACGTTGTGGAAAGCAAGAAATGAATCTCTGCATTGTATTGCTTAGAAACATGTGGCCTGCCCATTGCTTTCAGGAATGACCAAAGACGAGGCTTGAACAATCCCTAATACTCCTGTCTATTCATATGGAAAGGTGGAAAGGTGAGTCAACTTCCGTTGTTCACAAAGTCATCCCAGACCATCAATGAACCGCAAAAGTCTTCCCTCGAGAACTGGAGCGATTCGACGGGAAGGTTCTTCCAACAGTGATGAAACTCATCCGGACCAGCAAGTTTGGAATTCTCTCATCAGTGAAGAAGACGTAAGCAGGAAATGCAAGACATCGTTTGTTCGGCACCCATCATTTAGCAAAAAAGTGTTCCCTTAAGGCAGCCATGTTATCGCATACGAGTACCAAGCCTTCAAACTTGTTCTGAGTAGCAGGGCAAAGGCTTCGTCCAATAAATTGGGCATTAGATGCTTATTTTGTCGGATGCCGAACCGTTCTTAATAGCGGCTGATTCTTTTAAGCATGGAATTGGGTTGTACATAAAAAAGAGTTCTAGGCAGGCAGGCTACCCAAATCGACGTCAAGTCATCATCCTAAGAGAATTATTAGTATTAGGATTCTAAACGAATATTTTGATACATGCGGGTAACGACCGAGCTGAGAAGCAGTTTCGCTGTCAGATTGTCCAACCTTATGAAAAGCCCTTGCTAGAGATTGTTTTTCTTCAGAGAGAACTAAATATATAGGACAGGCTAAATTAGAAGGAAAACCAATAATGGTCGATGAGGGTAGTGGCAAAAGAGTCAGGGTTAGCCTCAACGTCTAGATACTTACGGTACAAATAAGAAAAACTTTTTTCGAAAGAAATTCACTTCAGTCTAACGCAGTTGAATGCGAAGGAATTCTTACACCTAACAAAAAAATCAAAACAGCAATCGGGACCGATTACCGTCAATAATTTGTGCTGTTGACGGTTATCAGTCCTGTTGCAGCTCGTGTGTGAATATCAAAATAGATTGTAAAAGGTGTGAAGATGAGGCAAAATCGACGGCGCTTGCCTTCTGCGTACCTGTATCGTAACTTTGAGCTCTTGATTTCGTGAAGACGAAAACATCTTTCTTTTCCATATCGTGAAAAGCATGATAGCGTTGACAACGATGTTTACCACTCCTGTTAGGTAATTTGTTGATTTGTTGAGGCTATAAAGGAAGCAGTTATAAGCCTAGAACGTACATATATATCACGAAAGCGAAATCGCTACATATTGTGGTCCAGAAAGTAGAAAACATGGACTGCATGTATCGAAAATCATTGATGTTCTGCTTTGCAAGGGTAGGAGAGGAGATTAGATCGTTTCGAAGGAAGGATGGTTCAGTGAAGGAGTTGATCAGCGAAGGCTTACACATGAAGCTCTTTGCACTATACAACTTTAAAAAAACCGCTTGGTACTGTAATTCGGCCACTAGAACACATCACAAATATTTGAAATTCGCTCAGTAAACCCCCTCGCACGATGAAATTTTCTAATTCTCAGAGAGGGATTGATAGAAATGCCCTTCTCCTCTTCAGTATTCCCATGCATACTGCTATCAGTTTTCCCTAGACGCCGTGGACTTGATGCAGAGTGGTAGCACTCGCCTGGAGGCGACCCTCGTTAGCATTATAATAGAAGCTACTTCGGATAATATAGCGTTGATTATGAAAAGTAAATCTTGGTAGAAGCAAACTCACACGTCGAAAAGTAGCACACTGCGACTTTTCATAGCTACGTAGTTCATTAAAGAGGCAATCCAACGGACACCAATCAGTTTCGTGTTGAGCAGTATCACAATACCAACAAATATTATACCAATAAGTATGGTGATCACCTGAAAATTCCAGAAATTCCGTTTATCTAATGTAGATGATCTCAACAAGTATTTTAACTTTCTTGACTGAAATGACTTTGAAATTTCATGGCGATGATTACGTAGAAACAGACCGTTTCCATTACTTGTAGAGCCTTTACATATATTAGTGTATGGACCGTGCTGTGTGTGTCTGTCGGTTTGACGGTGTGTGTGCGCTCGTGTGTGTCTGTCGCGTGTATGATCACCCGGAAGCTTAAGATCCCGCTCCCATTCACCTTGAGCTTTCAAATTCTTAAGAAGTGCAGGTGGCAACATGGCAGTACTAATGCTCGTGACATCAAACTGTGCGTGTATTTCCAGAAATTCACAACTTTTGTTCTCCTGTACCAGCGCATCCAAATTTTGACGGGATCCGGGCACCAGGTTATGCTTATCCCCAAAAAGAAGGGAGTCCGGCGTTAGCGAGTTGATATGACTTCCCCAATTATATTTTACAAAAAAAAACATTCGGAAAAATATCAACCAGTGAGGTTGCAAAAGCAGATTTGGTCGGAGCGGACGCACAAAAAATGAAGTTTTTCATTATACAGGAAATTATTTTCTATTTGCAGCTCTAGCAGAACAACCTTTTCCCATAAAAGTAATTGCTTAGGGAAAGACATCAAAGAAATCATTTCTTTGAAAGGGTGTCTATATTGACAGTCGAATGCTGTATCCCTTGAAGGATTCCCGTCAAGAAAGAGCTGCATGCCACTGAGACAGTCGAAGAAAGACTTGAGGTCTTGTAAAATGCCAGTGTTTTTTCACTGCTCCCAATTATCCCCAGAGATTTCCAGAAGAGCTGGAAAGCAAAGAGGCAAACGGCAACATACCTTGGCAGTGAAAACGCTTATGTATATTCCAGCCCTCAAAGGGAATATCAAGTAGAGCAAACGATGGATGGCTATTGCAAAGTTTATCCAGGCCACTGTGAAGTGTACACTGAAGACGAGGGAGCCGAGAAACTGAAAACGATTCGAAGTTGGCTTGCTTTTTTTAAATTTTGAATAGACTAGTGAATGAATTGGGTTTTTCCTTCTCTATATTGCGCTAGTGAAACAAATCATATAAGCCTGCTCTTCACCCCTCGAGGACATAAAGAACAACTGAAATTTTGTCCTTCAATTCGTTTGAGGGATGCGCCCCGCACAAGACTCTAACTGAGAATTGTAGTGGTCAACATAAATAGTGCACGGTCCACATAATGACTTGCGGTATCCAGCCGAAGTACAATTCATTGTTTTTAAACTCCCGGACGAGTCTGATACCATGTAACTGGACTCCGAAAGGATGCAAGGCTTTTGGCCTGAGCTGTACCGGGTCGGGATTTGAACCCGTGTCCATCCGTAGTGGGCCATTTCGAATTCCAAGTACGTCTTGCCTCCCTTTCATTCCCACCTACCAGATCGCATTGAACCATTTATTGATTGATTAAAGATAAAATGAATGGTTCAAAAATAAAAAAAATGTATGTATGTATGTATGTATGTATGTATGTATGTATGTATGTATGTATGTATGTATGGACCAAGCGGTCGACTTACAATCCATAATATTTGATATTTTATCCAATCCATATAGAGTAAGGCCGAAAAGCTGGAAAGCATTAGAGTAGCGAAAAAAACCATTGCCATGGCAGAGAGAAGGAGTAGAAGTGTGAATGAGAAGTTCGACTCCCAGCCGCACAATCGTCTAGTTGCCTAAAATTGTTTCAAGTTTTACATTGTTAATCAATTCTTCGGTAATGTAACAGTAATGAGAAACCCCCGAGATAAAGGGACTTTGCTCTTCCTTGTTTCATAATTACCCATCACTATGACAGCTTTTTGTAATCGTTTCGCATGCCTCAATGAATTCACCCGGCTCTTGTGAGCCTTTTTTTTTCTTGTAGCTACGCATATAAACTATTTGATAGTACATATGGACCCCACTCTGATGAACTCTAATGTTTTTGCACTTTATTTCCATTTTCTAGAAACTCTCGTAAAAAAAGTATGACTAAATAGATATTAGTAATTCAGCTTTGACAGTCTCACACTGACTTAAGGGCACCGCTCACGACAAAAATGATTTCTGAGACTACCCCACAGAATGAATTCGAGTCCCCGCGTTTACCTGGCACTATTACGTCGCAAAAAGGCCTAGTTAGGGAGTTATGAAGGCCCAGTGATTGGCCCGAGTGTATCCTCGGACGAGTTTCACCGGCATTGGAGAGGCTGCACAGATCACAAGGGAGCCCATGTAGGAAGTACAAACAACTTGTCATGACCCATAGAGACAGTGGGAGACAATTCTGCACAATTCTGGCTTGAAGTAGTCAGCTCTATGCGCAATAGCAACAACTGAAATCTCGTCCGAATACCCCTTCCATGTTATTTCCGTCGTAGCAATCTCGTCCAACCTCTATACTTTTGGGAAGCCATATTTTTTCCGAAATCGGCGAATTCTTCAATACCGATGAACAATTGCCAATCTACACTTTCGCTTTTCGAATAAAAACGGGTACCTCAGAATTATCGTGAACTGTGCCTTTAACACTTTACTTCCGCCCGTCCCAGTGGGTCTTAAATAGAGAAATTGGTATTTGTAAAATCAAGAAACACAAACTATTGAGCCCAGCAGTGCATTAAACCACAGGAATTTGAACATAGTAAAGCAACAGAGCAACAATCACAGATGCAGGTTGCGGAGAGCTTCTTCCTCACCTTCCCCACCTTGTGCCAGCCCGACCAAGGTTTTCGGGGCGTAGAAGGAGAGATGTGTGAACAAATCCAATAAGTTCCATGAAGGTGGGCTGCAAAGTTCATATACGTTGCAATTACTATGCCCGTATCCACTTTGAGTAAAATGTTTTAGACAAGCAGAAAAAGTAGGGAAGCTTTTCACGTTTCCAAAAGTATCTGATGGGGCAGGGAGTCATATAGCCAAGGTCAAGTTCCTTAACATATTTCCCAAGAGAACTGTCTTCTTTCCAACGCTGTCCACCTTGTCCGCTCACTATCCGCTCACCAATGATAAGCTTCATCTTTGATATCGCATGAAAATTATTTTTCAACTGGATTGACTGCTAATTTGACTGATTCATTGGAATCTGCTACTTACCGTTATAAAAATCGTGTGGAGCATGATCGAAAACAAGCATACAAAGCAGTACCACATGGCGGCATAGGTTCTATTGATTCCAACAAATACTTGAGGTGGAAGAGCTTCGGTTATGTCACCAACGGATGTTACTGTATTAGAAGACATCCAAGGTTCTCTGAATACACAACGATGTCTCCATGAGGATAACAGCACGGGTTATAACTGAAAAGAATGACTCGAACGACACGGCACTTTAGAGTAATCAATAAGAAAGCAGGGAATTCAGTTCGCAGTGAACGGCTTTTCCAAAACCTCGGCGTAGTGTAGCTTTTGATTCCTTTGCATGAACTCTGGGCGAGTTGATTTAAGTCTCACAGATGTTACAGGAAGCGATGCCACATGAAGATTCCCGTGAGCGAATATTAACTAAACAGTAGAGATCAGGATCTAAATTCACAGGATCATTGGAACCACAGAAGTTTACTGATAGAACCTTCAAGAGGCTTCAAATCAGCTGCTGTTGATCATTGCAATTCAGAATAAGACTACTATCAAAGGCTATATCTGCTCTGAACCATTGCGGCCTCGATGCGCTTGTTCATATTTATCGATCAGACTATGCAGCATACAAAGACAAATATAAAAATTACATATGATGGCAAGAAACTGAGCAAGGAAATCAGTCCCACTAGTCTTACTGTGTCACATCATTGAATCTTGACTAGTGAAATCCTAAAAACTATGATGAGCGGAAGGAGGAAATGAGATGTCTTAAAAGTTCAATGGAATAACAATTACGTGAATTAATTGCGATCATGCGGATTTGATTCAGTAGTATTATGGGAATGACCTCAAATGAAAAGACCGTTGTTTCCGATTTACCTTTAGTACATTTTGGTTAGAGTCTGAGTGTGGCACAATCTGACAGAGTATACAACTGCTGAAAATAATATTTAATATGCAAAGATGGCCATGGTTCTGACTCTTGAACAGACTCCATATTACTGCTCCAAAGACGTAGCTAACATGATATGATGGGATATGATATGATATGATATGATATGATATGATAATGATAGCGAAGAACTGGTTGTCCACGGAGCTGCTTACTTGTACAATAATATAATACTTAGACAACACAATAAAGAGTGAAGTAAAAGGTCTTCCAGGCGTTTCAATCTAGTCGGGGGATACACCGTGCATTCGACTTTCACTCAGAATCGTAAGGGCCTATTGAAAGGGTTTGTGGCCAATACAATGACTTACGGTGTCTAGCCAATGCACAAGTCAGTACTTTTGGCCTCTCAGGCTAGTTTAATTCCAAATTATAGACCCCGAAAGAATGAAGAGCCAGGACGTGAAGATGTGACCATGCGTATTTGATAGTGGGCCACTTTTTATCACATGCACCACCTTTGCCCTTGCTCACAGGACACCTTCAAATGATAGTCCTTTTCTTTTTGATGGCATGAGTACATACTAGTACTAGGCATGAGTACGGCTATTTATGCTTTGTTGCAACAAGTACGTTCACAACAGTGAATTTCGGCTTGTTGGTGGCTCAGGCAGAGCAATCCTTTCATATTCGCAGGGTCTGTCGGGATGAGCTAGCCTTTTTTGGAGAAATAGAAGTGGTGAATTATGTGACAGCTGTGTCGAATGTGTACTACAGGCTTTAGACGTATTAGAACGACTCTACTGATTCGAATTGAAGCCGACATTAATCAGACTTTTTTTGGCATGCTTCTACTACTTTTTACCTTTACTCTTGGGAGTTTGGATATAAATGCTTGTTATTATTCACCGGCTTTCTATTTCTATGTACATGGTACTCTGAATGGAACTATTACATTAACTCTCATTGTTAGATATGTAGATGTTAAGATTAATTGGCCTCGTGATAGCTTTATTTTGTGAAAGTCGAAAAGCTCTACCCCTGAGTTTGGTCTAAAAAACACCAAAAAAACACTGAGGGGCAGACTTCGCGAACCAAGTGTAGAGAATTCGAAAAATTGGCTTCAGATAATGCTTCATGTAACTTCTAGTACAGAATTCTACGTAAGTACGTATGTAAAAAAGTTGTACGCATTGTTTTTTGTTTTTTTCTCATTCTTAGACATTTTTGTACCTGGTGAGGCGAGGTAACGGCTTCAGTACTGGAACGTGTGCACATACTTTTGCCTATAAACCCGAAAAAAGGCAGAAGTGTTTGCATAATCAATTTTCTATATTTGGAAAAATCAAAAGCATTTCTATATTATAAACAAGATCTCAAAGAGCAGCAACATCTTCATCACATTCCGGCATGGGAATTCAAACAATCCTCCATGCGGGTAGCTTAATGGGAAAGCGATTTCATCATTTACAGTTTCGCCCTAGCAATAAGCATGTCTATATACTGGCAACATGACTACAGGGAGCGCCGTAAGTACGGTAACAAAAGAATTGGGCTACAGAAACCGCAGTTGTTATTGATGCATGGTGGGTTCATGCGAGGTATTTACTATGCGTCGCATCTACAAAACGAACACACTATGATCTTATAAAACCGTCTCCTGTACTAATCATAGCTAGGAGA